TTCATTGCTTATCCCATACGTATAAATCTATGTCCTCTAATGCTTCCACATTACTGTTCATCTTAAGAATGACGGCCTAATCTCCTCTCATACTTTATAACTTTTATCCATTCATTGTTGATTCACCTCAATTTTGATCCATAATCCACCCCTGATAACTTAACCTTTTATGTAATATTGCCGCTAAGATTCACGTTTTACCGGAGAACATCTGAAATTATTAGATTGATCCACCTGGGGCGATAACCTGCTTTCATAACCGTATCTCACGGCATTCCAATGTGATTCACCTTGCGTGGGTATTTTAATCCTGTCCAATTCATGAGATCCCTTTCTTTTATTCGTCGGATCATTACTCAATCGAAGGACCAAACGTCATTTTTTTTGACATCGTGCTTACATAACGTTCTGGAATCATAGCATATCTGTAGCATTTGGATAAGTGCAATCTCATCCCTTTCTCATTCTTATCGCATCCTTCCTTTATCGCTCCATAGTTACTAGATCCACTTAATTCTGACTTACTGCCACATCTCTCCATATTCCCCCCTTTAGGGGAGTACTAAGAGTTGAAGCCACGAGGATCTACCTATAGATGTGTTACCTCTTTATCTTTGGCGTTTTTTTTTTCACATCATTGATGACCCTTCCTTGCCTTGCGGCAATCCTTCTGTACCCAGGATAACAAAATTCCTCACTCGCGATGGTGACACTTAGCGTAACTGGCACATACAGTTTCTTAAGCTTAACTTTGCTCACATTGCTTGCTTTAGGAAAGCGTCTCCCTAAATAACCATTCTCTGAATTCATCATGAATCTTCTTCTGTGGTCCATTCTATTACCGCCGAAACGAAATCTAAAATTCCCATGATGCCGAGTATTTTTCAATCATTCAGCCCCTAATTCATGTTTAGTTTATCTTGTTTACCAGCCCATACTGATTTCTACTACTATGGGGATTAACTCTCCCTTCTGGTATTTGCGTTGGAGTCACGAACTTATTCCTCGAAAATGAGGATATAACCTTATGGCCTACTCTCTTTTGTTGTCTTAAGGCCCATCACCTTTCGTCTCTTTCTTCATTTGACTATAGGTTCTGTAACACTCTACCGTTGTCATTCATGTATCACACCTTATTCATAATGCTTCCTTATCTCTCTTCTCATTACTCAGCTAATATTTCTGCATATCCCTTTTCTTGTGAAAACTTCAACACGACATTCTTTCGCTTTTAGCTTTCCTTGCTTCATTCACGGTTTTTCGGGTTGCTCAACGTCCTCGCTCTACTAGGGACGAGAGTCACACTAAGGCTTCCAGTGCTTTTTTTTTATAGTACTCATATCTAGCTGTATTATTTCAGAGTGTACCATCTGGGTGTCTCACAAGGAGATTTTGTTAGCATATTTACAATATCTTTCGGCAATGTCAACTAACACAAGCAATCCATTCACCAATTCGGGTTACCCTAACCCCAGCCGGATCTTGATATCCCGTCCTTCTCCTAACTATACCTGTTAGCCCCCACAGGGCATAACTGAAATGGGAGTGACCAATCGTACATATCTCTGTTACTGTTGAATATTACACAAAAAGCTTATGTTCCTCTGCCTGAATTATAAACACTGTTAACCTTCATTAACTGGGCGTCTCGTACCCTTCTTCATCTTGCTTCCTTTGCTTGTTGAAACTTGTATTTATCTTCTTAATCTCTCGTTGTCTTTCACCATAAAGGTGGATAGGCATTCTTTCTTTAAGACTTCTTATCAGGAAGCTTACACCTTTCAGTACACCCATGATCTGCTAAAGACCTCACATTTACTTATCGTAGGCATCATACAAAATTTCAATTCCTCTGACTCAGCTCTTCCATATCTATCTCTCTTTCCAACCTTCTTTCCAGGTATTGTCTTATTACGAATAAAATAGAATTTCGGAATTTGAATTCTTATAAGCGAGCTCTACCACACGATCTAGAGTAAGAAGAAAGAGTGACAATCTTAAATGCCCTGTAGCCTCCTGCTTATAAGTGTGGTGCATGACACACCCATAAACAAGACTCTGCTAGAAACGGCTTGTAGACTCCCTAGGACAGAACTGTTCTGATACCACTTTTGTCACGACCCAAACCGATGGGCCGCGACGGGAACCCGGTACCTTACTCAACTGAGTACCAACATAACGTATCTTTTCATGTCATACTATCATAAATAACTGAGCCGGAGAGGCTGCCGAGAAATAGGTAGAATACAACAGGTAATGTCAACTTATACATAAGACATATGGGCCTCTAAGACCAAAATGACCACTTGAACGTTGAACATAGGCCGACAAGGCCATACAATCTTTTACGTACATGACATCTGTCTACAAGCTTCTAAGAATACATACCAAACAATACATATCTAACTCATACCAACCAAGCAAGCAACTCCGAAGCAAATGGAGCACACCAACATCTTCCGCTGAGCTGATAGCCTACTTAGAGGGCTCTCGACCTGTCTATCGGGACCTGCGGGCATGAAACGTAGCGTCCCCAGGCAAAAAGGAACGTCAGTACGAATAATGTACTGAGTATGTAAGGTATATAAATAAGTACATAACAGACATGGAGGAAATATATAGTAAATGACTCCATCTGTAAGTCTGAATAACTTTGTAAACCATGAAATAATTATAGTATCATGTATATGCGTATGAATGTCATGTCGTGCATAGGTACATGTTTCATAACATCATCAGCCTCTGAGGGCATCCCATCGTATCATCTTGGCCACTATGGGCAAAATCATCAACGTATACCAGCTGATCAGGTGGTGGTGCGTATATAACGCCGTAACCATTTCCCACATCCCATATACATATATTTACATATATACACGTATATAACGCTATCTGGTCATGGGTCAATGCACATGTATAAATGGGTGAAATGCATGAAAAATACGTAAAAATCTCAATATTCCTTCCGGATAAACTTTTTTCAACCGCGTATTATTCTAAGACCCATGAACAGAAGATAATAATAATTCTCATGGAGAATCAAGAATGTAGACACCCCTAGTATCTCTATGAATAGAGTAATTTATGAAAACTGTACGTTTGCTCGTTTCTTCAGTATAATTTGGACCATGCCAAAAGAAAGAAGGGATGACCTTAGCATACCTGGAGTAGGGAAAACTTCGTATAATATTCCGCTGGAAACCTTCGTGGATTGAACTTAGAACCCCGAAAATCGGATTAAGCTTCCGCTTCTTCGAAATTCTTGAACGCAACTTCAAGCTTCTTGCTTGTTGAGGTACTGAACGAATTTTCTTAAGTTCTGTTATTGAATTTTTCAAATCAAGAAAGAATGTATTTCTTGCTTTTTTGGGAATGACTACGTTACTCCTTTCCAAATAAAAATGGAGACTTGATATATGATTCTTATCTTCTGATTTTTGTCAAAATGCAAGAAGGAATCAAGACTTGTAACAAGTCTTTATTAAATCCCTATTATTCTTATATAGCCACCTAAGCTCAATTGTAAGAGTCATGTATACGTAGAGATAGTGGGCTGCCACGTGGGGTGGGGTGGGAAATATTAGTCATTATTCATTTATTTGATAATTAGGTAATGTTCCGTTACCCGACAATTAACCAATTATCTGTATTATTAAGAATTATCTTAAATTATCTAAAATTTTACTTATTTTTAATATACTTTTTATACGTTATACTATCGTGGTCATATGGTATCTTACATGGTATCAGTTCGTAATTATCGGGTATTATCGCTCGACCCGTATTTTAACCCAAATGCCAAACTTGGACGTAAATTCGTTTCCTTTGACTTGTTTCCCCTCTCACCTTCACGAATATACTTATTACTTGTTTGAAATAGCATAATCCTTATAATCTCTGAATAATCTTTTCCTTGAACTGATGTCAATTACCTTACGACAAATTCAACGTACAATACTACAGGGTGCAACATCGTCATAATGTAGTACTGCGGGACGTGACATCTCACTTCCGGGCTCTCATTAATTTATTTATGGCGTATTTTTATGTACGAAAATATGGGGTGTAACAAAGTGGGTTCATACTTATTATATAAAACACAAAGATATGATTGAGGTAGATACTAAGAATGCCTCGTGGGTTGTTCGAAAGATCATCAATGCGAGGAAATATTTGGGAAGGGCAGAAGTGAAGATAGAGGAAGCTGTGGTGGAGGGAAAATTCTCAATAAGGAAATATGCTAAGAGGAGATCTCGCAAAAATAAGGTGAAAGAAACTGATATGCAATAACCAAGCAAGTCCAAAGTGGGTGTTCATACTCTATTTGGCTGTCCAAGAGAGACTATACACTAAGGATCGGATGATAAAATGGGGTATGGTGACTGATCCAAAGTGTGTGTTATGTGAAGAAGAGTAGGAGAGCCACCAACATCTATTCTTTAAATGTAGAGCAGCTGCAAAGGTATGGCTATGTATTCTGAAATGGCTGGGCATCAACAGGAATCCTATGGAATGGAGGGAAGAGATAGATTGGGCCAGTGTGCAAGCTAATGGAAAGAACTCCTTCGCAGAGATATACAGGCTGAGCTTGGCTTGTACAACTTATCAATTATGGCAAGAAAGGAATTGCAGAATCTTTCAACAAAAGAAGAGGACGATAGAAGAAATAGTAAGAACAATTGTGCAAGAAGTACCTTGTAGAGGTAGAATTAAGACTAAGCTGGGAAACCACTTACATAAGATAATTTTTTATCTGAGTTTGTAAGGGTATAGGGAGTAGGCTGATGTTAATTAGATGAAGATGTGATAGTGATAGAGCTAGAGTTGGGATCAATGTCAATTACATGCTGACCAAATAATTACTTGGCCAAACAAACATGCCAAACTGTATAATTATACCTGATTACAGTCAAATCCAATTCCTACTTGGCTTTCCAAACAAGCTCTAAATTGGGTTATTCTGAAGAGGGTTATGATCGGTAAGAGGCCAGGGGTTCACAAACGGGCCATTAAAACTAAATACTAGCCCGATTGGCCATTAGCATTTGAACACTGCCGCAAGTGAACCTCTCCAGTGCATTGCCGACTGCTTGTAGCTCCTAACCATGGCTGAGCAAAGCAGCTGTCACCTCCGAAGAGGGCAGTACCTTGGAGAAATCTCTGCTCTCTGCTTTCTACACCTTCCCCCTGACTTCTCTTCTCTTCCTTTTCTTCTAGCTGGTCCGTTCTCTTTTAACATTTTGTTATTCTTTACTCACTATATTTGTATTGAAACGGTTCTAAGCATACAATTAATGTGTCTCCACAGGAACTGGTTCACAAATTCTTGTCTACGATTTAACGACTGGGAAAATGATAAAATCATTTGATGTGTTCGACGGAATTCGAGTGCATGGAGTTTCTTTGCAGACATTTAACGAACACTTGTCGGGTTCACTTGTTACTTTTAAGACTGCAGTCTATGGTGAGAGGAGAGTTAAACTTTTCAGCTTGCAAATTCAGAGGGTCTCTAATTCTCAAACTGAGCAACAAGCATGTTTTCATTTAACTTTAAGTCTCCTGCTCCTGTTACCTAAGTTTAGCCACTGGGTTTTGGACGTTAGCTTTTTGAAGGTAAACTTTTTTTTCAATGGATTTAAGTTATATACACTGATAGTGTAGTGAAATTTTACACCATCAGTTCAATTTTAATCAGTTATAGCACATTATTACTCTATTTTTCAGGTTACCATATGAAAGACTTATCTATTGTTAAGTCAACTTAACCTGATGGTGTAAGAAATCTGTACACTGACAGTACACAAAAGTTAAACTCTTTCTTAATTATGAAACACCTTACCCCTTTTGTTGGATTTATGCTTATTATGATACTGAACATGTGGTGGTAGTGGGATGGTGCTACTTCTTCAAACAATGGTGATTGTCTTGCCATAGGATGCAGTGACAATTCTGTACATATTTGGGATATGTTGAGATGTTCTCTCCTTTCCAGAGTAAGATGCTCAGGTTGGTTTATCAGTTATCATACTAGACCAGTGCTTTCTGTTCTATTGTTCATTAGGAGACTTAATTCAACCATGGATGCCACGGTTCATGTTTGACTCTTTTCTTCATCTAACTTTTAGAAAGGTGTTTGTTGTACTCCATGAGGATTTGGGGCGATGATGTTGGATCTCTCCGTGTAGCATCTGGCACTATCTTTAATGAGGTACCGATATTTAGGTTATACCTTTTCCCACTCTATCTTATCATATTTCCCTTGCTATAGTATTTTGTCCAAACTTAGGAGTATTTTTGATATATTGCAGAGATGTTCATCTGTCATTGGAGAAGTTTCTTCCATCACTTATGATAATTTTAACCCTAATTTTGTCTCTAAATAAATTAAATAATCTAGCAATATAGCCTCAAATCACACTTCATGGATCTTTTTGCTTTGTACATCCGTTATCCGAAACTCACTGGCTTGATTAGTCAGATTCACCGAATAGGCCCACTAAGCAGGCAAAACGCTCCCCACCGGTAGGTTTTCATTTTACATTCTCAGGTCTCAAAACTGAGACCTCTGGTTTAAAGTGGAGAATCCTAATCATCCCGCCAATACCCCTAGGTAGTTTTATAGGGGGGTCAAGAAAGGGAAAGGGAAAGAGTGCAGTGGGAATCAAACCCACATCTATTGTTTGGGAGAGTCCCACAAATACCACTAGGATATAAACCTTAGTGATGCTTTAGATATTTGAGTCATAAGGTACATGGTTAAAATTGTTCTGCTATCAGAAAAGATGAATGCACATTCTTTAGAAGTTTCTTTTGACTACTTTGACTGTTTTCCTGAAAACTTCTCCTTTTGAATATTTTTGCATACTATAAACAGATTTTATGGTTCTCCTTCTACAGTTTTGGTTGGATATTGTTCAATAACTGAAGATATGCTCTATAGCCTGTATTGACTCTCTTGTTTCTACAGTTTCTGACAGTTCAAAATTATCACTTAATTCTTTAGTAAAATGGATCTGTTCAAAGGTGTTCGTAACGCCTTTTGTGTGCTCCTTGATATATGCATGTCCTCCGACAGGCGCTTAATTTTCTTGATCTGGGTTTGGCAGGTTCTTGTTTGGAAAGTGGGTTGTAAGCCTGATCCTGATGTTATTGGAAGCCCTACAGAAGACCTTTTACATTTGACCAGTCACGAGGGTCGCCAGCTTCCTTATCAGCAATATGAAGCTGTAAATATATGTAAACTAATTGGACATGAAGGTTCAATTTTCCGCCTTGCATGGTCTGCTGATGGATTTAAACTAGTATCTGTATCTGATGATCGAAGGTCCATATTTTTCTTAATTAATACCTATGTATATATTGATCCATAGAAACATTTAATCAGCGACTTTAGGTGGTTATTCTTCTTTTTTGTTAGTGCAGTGCTCGTATCTGGACGCTTGGTGCTAATGGTTCCAACCACGTGGTTGACTTTGTCTTATTTGGTCACAGTGCTAGAATTTGGGACTGCTATATATTTGACTCTGTAAGTTCATGAAAGTACTTTGTAATTCACTTACACAGCATCGGGGAATATGCTGTTCAGCAGGCTAAAGTACTGAAGTTGCAGATGTCAAAAATAACTGCGCAACCTTGTAATAAAAGCTGTCTAAATGGCCTAAAGCATTTTATGGTTGGGGTTGACTAGGGGTTTGCAGGAGAATACAACAAGTCAGCTAAAAAAACTTGTCCAGTGTCCCAGTTCCTTCAGAACTAATGAACTTTTAGACAACTAGGGACAATTTATGATGAGGATAGATGGATAAGCTTGTAAAAAGAGGAGAGGAGAAGAGAAGATAGGGAAGATCGCTCAGGTTTTGGTTAAACTTCTTCTCTACAATGAAATCACATTTAATAGCACCTAAGGGTGTGGCCTAGTGGTCAATAAGGTGTTGAGTACTATGAGGTCTTAGGTTCAAATCCCAGTGGAGGCAAAAATACTTGGGTGATTTCTTCCCATCTATCCAAGCCTTGGTGGACAGAGTTACTTGGTAGCTGTGATGGTGGGAGGTAGTAGGTACCCCGTGGAATTAGTCGAGGTGCGCGCAAGCTGGCCCGACACCACGGTTATCAAAAGAAAAAAATGATATCACATTTTGTGTAGCTTGACAAGTCGACAAATATATGCTTACTGAGCTTCTGCATTTTCCAATCTGAACAATTATTTATCAGTATGAATATCGATACTTTTATCTTGCCAATCTTTGACTTTATTTTAATAAATACTTGGGGAACAATCTGACAAGCAAGAAGTAATGAAAAGCCTACATGTAATCACGTAGCGCTGTCATTGCAAACCAAAATCTTTAATATGCACATTGATAATGAAGACATGTAACTTATGGGGTTTTTTAGAGAGTCAAGAGAGCCCAATTGCGGTTGCTTTTTTTGTGTGCGGATTTAATGCCAGAAATAGTTTTCCTGTATCAGACGGTTCTGTGTTCTTCATGAGGGGTACATTTTATATATTTATGATGCTATGCGGTAATTTTTATTGTAAAACTGTACGTTGTGATGGTTCATTAAGAATTTGTGCATTCCTTTCCTTCAAATGTGGGACATGTGAGGATCGCTTCTAAGTTTGGTTTTGTCTGTCTATATGTGGGACTCTGCTTAGTTAATCATAACTGCTGGCGAGGATTGCACGTGTCGTGTATGGGGAATGGATGGCACACAACTTACAAGAATCAGGGAGCATGTGTAAGTGAAAGGAAAGTTTCATCACGGAAGTGACTTCTTAATTATATTATTGTACCAATTAAATTATTATTTCTCATTTTTGACTTCATTAGTGTCACTTTATGTTCTGTGGTGCAAAATGTTTTGCTTGCATTGTACACCTTAGAATAAACTGGTTTTATGATATACACCCTGCGTTTCAATTTATGTGAACCCATTTGACTGGGCACGTATAAGGGTGGCAAGTGGGCCGGTCCAAACGGTCCCGGTCCCGGTCCCGGGCCGGTCCCAATTTAAACGGGCTAAACGGTCCCGGTCCTGGTGGTCTTTTTGTAGGAACCGGCCCGGGACCGGGCCCACGAACAAATGGTTCCGGGCTAAACGGTCTCGGCTCGCGGGCTAAGTGGGCCTAAGTGGGCCCAACAGATTTTTTTTTTAATTTTTTATATAAATTAGAGAAAAAAAGATGTTAATAAAAATATCTAAGGCAATTCCTTGTAAATTTTATTATAGAATTGTGACCTAAATTTTTTAATTCAAATTTAAAGACAAAAATATTGTAAAGAGATATTCAAAGCAATGCGTTATAATTATATTATAGCATTAAAAAACACATGGCAATATCTTTCTTAGTCTTCCTCCCCCCTATGGAATGAGCACAACAAGGTGCTAATACCACCATTGAGAAGAAAAAGAAACTACTCAAGATGTGCCAAAATACAAGTTACATAATACATACTAACTTTTGTTTATACAAGTTACATGGTATCTCTTACAAACTTCATAAATCCATTAAGGTCCGGAGGAATTTCCGTTGGTGGTGGCGGAAAGGAAGCTTGGTCATCACCGCTTCCGGGCGAAGCAGAATCCTCCGCAAGTTCAACTAGCATTTCTTCGTAAGCTTCGTCTACCTTTGGTTGTGATTCAGCAAGTCTAAAATTTCTTCTTTCCGAACGGATCCAATCTCTGAAAAGTACTGATTTTTCTAAGCTCTCCCTCATAGACGCTCTATAATCACCGAGTTGAAGTCTTGCTTGACTGAAAGCGCCCTCCGATCCCATTGTTGAAGCTTGAATAGTTAAAATATCTCGGGCAATCCTTGAAAGAACCGGAAAGTGTTTTTCTTTGTCCTTCCACCATTTCAAAAGATCAAAGGAGCCGTCAGGATTCACTTCCTCAATTCCCCGTGACAAATAAACTTCAAGCTCATTTAGTTGTGAAAAATCACTACTAGTAGAACCTTGAGAACCCCTAAACCCCGCCCAAGCACTAAGTGCTCTTACTCCCGCAGTTCTTTTAGATGATTGAGAATCAGAAGAAGGAGTTGGAACATTTGGTCTAGCATGATCTAATGCACTTGATAAGCATTATAAATAGTTTGAGCATTTATTCTAATTGAGGCTATTGCTTCCGGAAGTTTAGACAACTCCTCATCTTCAAGTGCCAAACTTTTATAAACAGTTTCATACCAAATTTGAGGACCTCTTAATTTCATACAAGGATTTAACAAAGCAGTAACACCATAAATAGGGGGAATAGGGAAAAAATATTTTTTAAACTTTTTTCTCATAGAATCAATAGCAAGTTTATAAATTTCCCCACCCTCTGAAAAATGAGCAAACAAATTTGCAAGTTCTGCAATATAAACTAAACAATTCGAAATAGTAGGATAATATTGCCCAGAAAATTCATTTGTAGCAATATGAAATTTTTCTAAAAAATCTACAAGCATTTTAACATTAGCTCAATCCGCATTTGTAAGGTGCTCATCATCCTCACTTACATGAGCATTAAACGTTGAGTTTATGGGGTTTCTATATTCATACGCAACAACTAAACTTTCATACATGTAATTCCATCTAGTTGAACAAGGTTTAGGAACCTTTCTTTCTCTTAGGCCTAATTCATCGCATCTTTTAAAATATTCTCTAAGTGTACTTCTACGGTTTGAATAAAAAAGCTAGTTAAGAGCCATTTTAACCTTTTCAATTTCAATATTTAAAACTCTCATACCATCACCCACAATTAAATGGTAAATATGACAAATACATCTGACATGAAAAATGTTACTAAATGCAGGACTTAGTGTAGTGGTAAGCAAGGCTACAACATTTGTGTTACTTGTAACATTATCCATTGAAACTGACATTATTTTATCACTAATGCAAAAATATCTACAAATATCCGTAACTGTGCTAGCAATAAACTGCCCTGTGTGACGTGAATTAATTATTCTATAAGCAATAATCCGCTTTTGCATTATCCAATCCTCATCAATCCAATGACTGGTAACAATAAGGTAATCACAATTATTACCACTTTTACTAATATCAGTTGTAATAGCAACACGACAATTTATATGAGTAAATAAATAGCGCAAATATTGTTCATATTCATGTTTATATTTATAAATATCACTCTTTACGGTTGTGCGAGGAAAACCTTTTTAAGTAGGATTAAAATTTTTCTAGTATAATGCACAAAGTGAGGGTCAGAAGGAAAACTATAGGGTAAGCACATAGCAGTAACTATTTTTGCCAATTCTTCCCGATCTTTTTTTGATCATAATATAAAATACCACCGGTAACAGCGTTAATTCCCGGTTGAAATTGATTTGACCCGGTACTAGGGTTAGCCTGACTAGGAGTAGGTACACTTGTCCCCTTGGCCAAAGCTTTGGCACGAAGATATTTGGTCTTGAGGGTGTATTAACATGCGTCTAGCCAAAGTTCCCGTCCCCTCCCTCCTTCCCCTCACCCCCCCACCCGACCTCCAAAATATTTAAAAGCTAGCTCCTTGCCACAAAGTTTTACACTTAGCCTTATTTTGTGGAATTAGTTGAGTAAAAAATGGCCAAACAATAGATGTTTCTGTCCGTTTGGTACGTTGTCTAGAAAAAGTAGGGGTAGTAACAGGAGTATCAGACGGGACATCATTTGGATTATCACTAGTTGGGTTAACTTCAGGAGCAGGACTAGTGGGTGTATCGTCATCCGGTTGAGTTTCATCAAAATCTATTTTCTCCTCATCATTTTCATCAATAGTTGGATTAGAATAAAGAGCATTCATTAATTCATGGTCTAATTGTTCACCAGCTCCAACATTATGGCAAAATTGACTCTCAGTAATTTGTAATAAACTATTATCGCTATTAAGAATAGCAGGTGTAGGACGGAAATGGGGTTTGGGTCGGGGAGCCGGAGGCAGTAGAGGAGGAACAGATCGACCACTAGATTCGCTACTCTTGGATTTTCCCTTATTTTTACCAAAAAGTTTTTTTAAGAAAGCTATCTTAATTAATCAAATACTAGAAAATAAATAAAACAAACAAAACTATAATATTAAAAATTAAGAGTTGGAACGAGTTTACCGAATTGACGAACAACTTGTTAAAAATTGATTATCGTTGAAGACTTGAAGACTTCAATTCACCAACTTCACAGTTTTTTCACAAATTGTAACAATAAAGTAAGCAATAGTAGCAATTATAGAAGAAAATTAGAGAGATTGATGATTTTGTGAGAAAAATGAAACAATGAGGGGGTATTTATAGTTGAAAATAGGGAAAAAGTGTAATTATAAAAAATTTGGGGTTAAAACATAGTTTGGGGGGGGGGGGGGGTTGGGGGTGGTTAATAGGCGTATTTTGTTAAATAAGCCAACTGACTATTTTGGTCGAAACCTAAACCGGCGTNTTAAAACAAAGTTGGGGGAGGGGGTGGTTAAATGGCTATTTTGTAAATAGCCAATGACTATTTTGGCAAACCTAACGGCTATTTTTTAAATGCCCAAACAGGCAGAACTTTAAATTTTTGACCGTTGACCGTTTGGGCCCGCCAAGGACCTGTCCGGCCCCGGTCCCAGGCCTAGCGGTGCTAAAGTGAAGAATCGGACCAGGCCCAGGTAGCCGGTTCTAACCGGTTCAGGCCCGTTTAGGCCCAGAAGACCGTTTGCCACCCTTAGGCACGTAATTTAAGAAAAGAGAGAACTTTTGAATTTGTGGTGTAAAATGAGGCACATATATTTTGTGTGGCTATAAATCATTGTATAAAGGTAAATTGTTTCCAAATAAGGAAAGGGGTCATTCTTTTTGGCACGGGCTAAAAAGGAAATAGGTTTACATAAATTGATACGGAGGGAGTAATAACTATATCACATTTTATTGGTACAGTGGAAGGGGAATCTGGCGATGTCTCTACGATCCTGATGCAGCACTCCTTGTGACTGCGGGATTTGATTCTGCAATAAAAGTACACCATCTGCAAGGATCGTTTTCTAATGGGTCAGAAGGAGGTATTGTGGAAGTACAGGACTCAACTGTCCAAAAGGAGGAATTTGCTCTTTATATTCCAAATTTTAGAGAGCATGATGGCCTCTTGAACAGGTATAGCTGATATTTCAATTTCCCAGTGATGATGATTTTCAAAGCACATGATGGCCTCTTATATCCTTTGTGTGTGTGTGTGTGGGGTGTGGGGTGGGGGGTGGGGGTGGGGGGGGTTAAGGATTATGTTAATGAGTGAACCTTGCGTTTGTGACACGTGGAACATTGGTGGCATGGTGGCGCGAACCCATGTGGATTCAGTTACTTGTAGAAGAAGCTGCTCATCTGATGATCACAAACTCATGTTTTTTCTATCAATTTCTTAGAAACAATATATTAACATATCACATATGCCACTTTCTTGTTACTTTATTGTGTAAGTTATCTAGTTGAGAAGTATTGGTAGTTGAAGTACCTTTATCACTTGAAGTAACATTTCTTACACCCTCTTTGGGAGTGTGGGATGATTTAATTAAAAGTGCTTTTACTTATAAAAATACTAAAAGTACTTCTCTAAAAACAACTACGCTTTGAAAAGGTAGAAGCTTTCCCCTTTAAATTTTGTCTTAGTTATGCTGACACCTGGCCTTGGATGAAAATGGAAATAACTGTATTATGATAGGAAATTCAAAGTATGGATCCCTATTTGAAATCCAAATATTGATCTAGGGGATGTGTAGATTTGCCCCAACAAACTTTATTGAGGTAAAGTGTGTTGTGAACTAAAATTTTTGGTGTGGGGCCTAGCAGTCGATGAAGCTTAAATGAAGACCATGAGGCTAGGGTTCGAATCCCAGCAAAGGAAAAAAGTTAGGTGATTTCTTCTAATATGCCTAAGACTTGGTGGGCAGAGTTACCCAATACTTGTCCTTGTCTGGTGGAGGGATGCATGTACTCAATGAAATGGTCGAGGTATGCGCAAGCTGGTCGGAAACCACTGTTAATTTTTTTTTCAAAAAAGAATTTTGAGCCTGTATGTATTATATTTTCAGGAGTAATTGTTGAACAAGTTGTATTTTTCAGGAGAAGTCTCTTATATTGCTAATGCAACTCATCCTATCTTAGTTCTTGACAACTTACTTGTTCACATTTGAGCCCATGATTTCTAAGTGCTTATTGGCTGATCATTTGGCTTTATCAAATTTCATGCAGCAAAAGCGAATATGTAAGATGCTTGCATTTTTCTCGGGAAGATTCTCTTTATGTTGCCACAAACAATGGATATGTGTACCATGCTAAACTTTATGATACTGAGGATGTGAAATGGACCGAACTTCTCCATATTGGGGAGGAAGGACCAATTGTTTGCATGGATTTGTTGTCACACTGTTCTGATGTTACTGAAGACATTGAAAATTGGGTTGCTGTTGGCAATGGTAAAGGCACTATGGTGATTGCCAGAGTTGTTGATGATGTCTTGAATCCTCGAGTTGAACTCACGTCTACATGGTCAGCTGAACCAGAGAGGCAACTACTTGGGACTTATTGGTGCAAATCTTTGGGACCGAAGTAAGTTATGATGATGCCAGAAGTCAAAATGATACGATGAATATGCTTGACATATTTAGATAGAAGATTGATGAACGTCTTTCTAAGTCTATCCTGTTGACTTTTGGCTGATATGATCTTTCCTTTCAGTACCATTAGTATGCCGTTGGCCTGGAGAGCAGAGACCCCCCCCCCCCCCCTAAACCCCATAAACACATTTTACTTGATAAAATCTGCATCTGTTGGTAGGGATAATATATCATTTACATGTCTGATCGTGTGAAAGCCATATATTCTGATGACCTTATCCTGTAGGTTCCTCTTCACTTCTGATCCCAGAGGCACATTGAAACTGTGGAGGTTGTTCAACCCTTTGCCCTCTGTTTCTCAGGATGTCATGAGAAGGTGTTGTGTATCTTTAATAGCAGAATTCCGCTCATGCTTTGGAATGCGGATAATGTGCTTGGATGCATCAGTAGAGAATGAGGTTAATACCCTTTACATTTTATGCATTGTGAAATTTAGCATGTTCCTTCTCTCTTTCTCTCTCTATGGCTTCAAATTTGTTCTCTCTCTCTATATATATATGTGTGTGTGTGTGTGTGTAGCCTCAAACACTTTTTGGGTATTACTCCCTCTTCCCAAAACGCCTTCCTTTTTTTGGATTTTTTCCAAAATATTGTTCATTTTCCTGAAATGAAATGAAAAGTTCTAATGCATTTTAAATACCAGCAAAAGTTCTATAGGACTCATTCTATCATTCTCAATTCAAAATTATCCTTTATTCTATATTCTATGACACAGCGGCAAAGATTGACCCACAAAAAATCATATTATCAACTCTTATGTTAATATTCGTGCCTAGTCAAAAAAGAAAAGACTAGCAAATTGGGACGGAGTAAGTTAGAAACGGGGCATATGGCTGCTTTACTGCAATTGTCATGTTCCTATTATTGATTAGTATCCTTGAAGTAGCATTTGTTATACATTGTACCGATTAAATTGTTCCAAATAATTCTTCAATTACTCTGCTATGTGACTCTTAAGATGAAGTTCCTCCATACATATTGGGTGTTCCCTTTATGTTCCTAAATAAAAGAGGAGTTGCTTCAAATATATATATTCCTTCTCTCTTTCTATCTCTGGAAAGCAATAATATATCCTGACTTGTCTGTTTCAAGTTTGAACAACCCACCAGTATGAAATATTACTTACTGTGTAAGTTTCAAAATTCTTGATATATTTCCCTTTTTATAGGTCCTAGTGTGCGGTGACATTCGTGGTAATCTTTTGTTGTTTCCGATGCAAAGAGACATTCTTTTTAGCATGTCTACAGCTTCCGAAATAAATATAAGTCCTTTCAGCAACTTCAGAGGAGCTCATGGAATATCAACTGTGTGTAGCATCTCCATTGCTAGTTTTGGTCCTACACAACTTGAAATTCATTCAGTAAGACCTTACTTGGATGCTTATTCTGTTCTGCTAGTTACTTATAATCATTAAGCAACTTCCTGCTTGGGTTTGAGGTGATCTTTTCATTCTCCCTTTGTGATATGTTGATTTAAGAATCCGTTGATATTTGATTTTCAGGACTTTTACGCTGCTTTATATGATAAAGCTTTCGGATACTATATAAGAACTAAGTCTAAAATAATGAAAAAAATCTGTAATAAGTCTCATCATATATTTTAAAATAAATATATACAGATGGAGGTTGACCTTTTATTAGTCCCTGTAGCTGTTAACCTCAAGATGTCTTTTCCCATCATTATTTTAAGTGTTACAGAGAGAGTCCCTGCATTATAACATTGGCCAAAGTACAGTTGAAAGTCTTTGACTGCATATCAGAGTATGTATTCCTGTTTTTTTTTACCGGTTGGAATCTGGACTTCTCTGTTCCATGCAAATATAAATCAGAGATAAAAAGGTGAGACAAGGTCATGTAGTAAGAAATGATACTACAAAAATGTGTAAACTATTGCCCCCAAAGGCTTTGGTCTAGTGGTAAGAGCGTAGCACATGATGTGTGGGTTAGGCACACGTCACACTTTTGAATCTGCTGCAGACAAAAGCCTGAAACAAACACAAGCGTGGTATTTAAGTGAAGAAGGGTAAAGGGGCGGGCCCATTATCCTCTAAGTTCCGATTGTTTGTCCTTGAATCATCTTGTCTACAAAAAAAAAAAAAAACGAGAAAGAGGACTCTTTTTAGGTTTCTATTATGTAAACACAGATTCATTTAAATTTTTACATATAAATATACCGTTAATATCAGGACTTTCGTGGATTCAAGACCCTGAAAGTACTTGATGCAAGAACATGCCATTGTGTTGTCCAATGCAGTAGCTTTTCTTTTTGTTCTTTATTTTCTTCAGACTGGAGGAGATGGGTGCATATGCTACTTTGAACATGATAGAAGTCGTCATAACTTGGAATTCGTAGGGATCAAGCAAGTGAAAGAGCTAAGTACAGTACGATCAATCTTCACTAATGCTGACCAACAAGGCGATTTACCTGGAAGCAGTTGTGCAATAGGATTTTCTTCATCAGACTTTATCATATGGAATTTATTTTCCGAGACAAAGGTTTGGTCTCTCTTGCCTACTCGGTCGATATTCTGTCCCTCTGTTTCTCGTTCTCTTCCACATCATAATGATCTTACATTCGCTGGAATAGGTTTTGCAAGTAACCTGTGGTGGATGGAGGCGTCCTCATTCTTATTTTCTTGGTGATGTACCAGAGATGAAAAATTGCTTTGCCTATGTCAAGGTATAATCTTTTCCAAATCTGTTAATTTCCTGTTCCACGATGGATTTAGAAGATAGGAAATGATCATACAGGCAACAGGAGGTTTAGTCCAGCTTGCTTTGGGAAGTGGAGTTGCACCACTTGTAGTTATTAGCTGGCCTCAGAGTAATAATTCTTCTAATGACGGGATTAATATCGTGACCACACCATAGCTCTTTCTTTGCAGGATGGAATTATTTATGTTCATAGACACTGGGTGACCACTAGTGAGAGGGTTATGTATCCCAAAAATCTTCATCTGCAATTCCATGGCAGGGAGATACATACCTTATGTTTTATCTCTCAAGATTCATCGTGCAGTCTAAATGAAAAGCAGGATATTTTTTCTGAAATGATTTGGGTTGCAACAGGTTGTGAAGATGGAACTGTGAGATTGACAAGGTATGATGCCATTTCCGATTTTTATTTTTATGCATTATTTAATCCTGGGGGATGGATTTTGTCTATTTTTTTAGTTTTGTTTCAACCATTTCCCTACCTAATTGGGCTTCCTTCGACGAGTCTTGATATTTGCGCACTTTCTTTGTCGTTGTCTTTTTGAAGTTCTGTGACAAATTAGTTATTTTGCTGATGTCTCAGGTATGCTTCAGAAATTGAAAATTGGTCAACTTCCAAGCTGCTTGGTGAACATGTTGGCGGATCAGCTGTGAGATCTATATTCTTTGTCTCAAGGCTACATAGAATGGTGCTGGATGAAAATGACATGCCTGACAGCGTTAACAGTGAAAAAGGGTTTTTAGAGGACCCGGAGGATCTTTCATTACTAATATCAGTAGGTGCAAAAAGGGTGGTAACTGCTTGGAAGCAAAAAAGTAAGATGAGAATTAGGGAAGGAACCTTTGACCCAGAGTGCAACATTAGAAATGATTTCCAGTGGCTTTCTACTGATATGCCAACCAGAGAAAGAAATCATGGAAAACTACAAAACAATAAAAAAATTAGTGAAATGGTCGAAAATGATGGATCACTTCCCTCAGAAGACAAGAGAAGCTATTCAGAACCATGTGTACCAGATATATGTGAAAATGATTGGAGATATCTCGCAGTTACTGCTTTTCTTGCTCAAGTTGCAGGCACAAGGTCAGTAAATCAACAGTATCCAACAGTTAATCAACAGTACATCATCGTGTTCTGTCAAATTAGGCAAATATGAACAATTTCACATCCTGTTTATTCATCTGCAGGTGTTCAGTCTGTTTCGTAGTTGTTGCATGTTCAGATGCCACAGTTACACTACGAGCTCTCTTACTACCCTACCGACTCTGGTATGTACGTCCATTATCTCATCATGTCCAAATAACAATACTTGTATTCCCTTTTGCAGCATGGTACTACGGAACATGCTGTTCTCTTGTTTCTGACCTGGTCTCGTTTCCAATAACAATTTCAGGTTTGATGTTGCTTTACTGACTCCTTTGTCATCTCCGGTGCTTGCTTTGCAACATATCATTGTTCCTACATATCCCCCACTTCAAGGTTGATTTACTACTTAGGTTTAGTTGATTAGCAACTTTTTTCATATTTTGACTGTGTAGGATCTATAGGTTAAGATTGATTTTTGAGCATAGTATGTTCCCAAATGCATTTCAAAGCAAAGATCCAGTAATCTCACAGTCAATTCTGCATTAATTAATTTAAACCAGGAATTAAAACAAATTATCTAAAAGCTACTAATAACAAGCAAACCTAAGCAGCGAGCACAATGGCACCACCTGCCTCCGTAATCTTCTTCTTAGTGTCTTTGAGATGAGCTTGGCCTTCATCAAAATAGGCTGGGAGGGTGGCGATCACCCTTGGCCAAGATCTTGAAGTAACTGACCTGGCTATTGCTGATTAAGAAGCACTGTCCTTGCTACCAACAGCCTTGTCCTTCACCTAAGGGATGAGAGGCCAGGGCTTGTCTATATTCTTTCTTGTTTCAGAGCTTGTGGAAGTAGTGTATACCTACCTTTTTGAAGTAGTTCGAATTGTACTTGTCAAAGCGGATGCTATTAAATACCCCTCCATCTCATTTTATATGAAGGTGTTTGACTGGGCATAGATTTTAAAGAAGAAAACTTGTGGTCTTAAAAATGCCATATCATTTTTGTGCTATAAAATCATATCATTAAGGGTAAATAGGAAGTTTAAGGTTAAATTGTTTCTAAATATAGAAAGGTGTCATTCTTTTTGAGACAGAGTAAAAGGGAAAGAGTGTCACATAAAATGGCACGGAAGGAGCAAGATAAAATGGGTTCTAGTATTATTTACGTAACTACTTTTCAATTTTTCATATGCTTTACAAACTACTGAAACCTTCTGCATTTTTTTTTGTTTTTGTTTTGATTTTTTGTTCAAACCTTCAACATATACAACAGTTTTTCTTCTATATTTGATCTTTGACACATCACACACTGAAGATCTGAGGGAGGTGATGAAGCAGCTTATATGTAGTACCAGAGGGAGGGAGAGGGGTCTTTGGCTGGTGTAGAAGAAGAGAATAGCTACTACTTTGTGAGTGCTTTCCATCAAATGCAGTTTCTCGTGGTAGGCAAGATAGAGGAGCTTTATGAAGGTTAGAAAAATGAGATTTATCTCTCAGAATTATTGTAGGTCGGAGTAAATACATGTAGGATGTGGATTGACATGTGAGGATTTGGGGGGGGGGGGGTGTACCAAGTAAGAAAGTGACCCATCCTCAGTACTGATGACTATATAGAAGACGTGCTTGTGCTTTATGCCATTTTCTCCTCGAGCACTGGATAGAGATTGGTGAGCAGACAGCCCAGTGAGTAGGACCACAGAGGTTAAAATTACCAGGTCAAGCAATTTAGCTTCCTTTAGACCGAACCGGACCACAGCTTGGGGAGAAGCATGGAGACATATTTCACTCGTGGCTTTTCATATTTTTACAGGGTATATTCTCGAAATTGACAAAAGGAGAGGAAGGGGGATGGGGAAATTCCCTAGCTAAAATAGTAATTGAATGGGGAACAATAGTGCTGTGTGAATTTTTTTCTATGAGAAGAATATGCAATTCAATGTATTCAAACAAAAATATTATTGTGAAATACTAACCTTAAATGGCGATAAACTAGAAAAATGTGCTAGGAATTATACTTGAGATATTGAATTAGACATTCTAGTCAGTTGAAAGCAAAAGGATCTTTCAGTTGGAGTCGTCCCAAAGGAATTGAATGTACGATTAAGAAAATGAAGAAATTTCTGAAGAGATCAGTAAGTTTCTATGTCAATTCTGTCCAGTTCAAAAAAGTCTTTATGTCAATTCTGTATTCTACATAGTGGGATTGGCACTTAAAATTCTCAGCTTTCTGGGAATTTTGAAAATATGTCTGCTGGGATTTTCACAAAAAAACTCCAATGAATTTAAAAAAAAAAAGAAGAACCGCAATGAATTTTACCTTTATGTTGTCATAGAAACTGTTGGATTGATTCTTCCTTTTTTTTTTATAGGAAACACAATGTTTACTTCTTTCTTTATGGGAGACAAAACAAACTCTAGTTAGTTCTCTCAGTTTGTGGTATTTATGTTGCAACTACTTGCGGAATTACAGGTCTTTACTTGCATTTACATTCTTGTAGAGAAGTCATATACATTTTTTGTTCCTTTTGTGATAAAAGGTAGATGATAACTCCTGTCTTGTATAGCTCTTTTTTTCTGTGTTTTTATTCTGATTGAAATCTTGATTTTGCAGGCAATGTTCGGTTCGGAAGTCGGTATATTATTATTAGTGGGTCTACTGATGGAAGTATTGCCTTTTGGGATCTTACTGAACATGTTGAAAATTTTATGCGGCAATTATCAGCAGTTCAAATCAGAAAAGGTCTAGACAGCCAGAAAAGACCACGTACAGGTAGAGGAAGCCAAGGTGGACGGCAGTGGAGATCATTGGGCAGTCCAGTGTCTAATAAAATAACAGGTGAGGAACAATTGTTGGGAGTTCCTGTTTCAAAGGGAAAGCCTGATAATGGTTTGTGTGCGACAACTGTCCCAGGAACTGACAAAACTGTGCAAGATCACACTCTGCGAGGGATATCTCATTTGGTAGAAAATACACATGCATTTTCTCCAGACACCTTCACTGGCATAAAGGAAGTATTACACAAAGCATGGCCCTTGCATATCTTCAAGGATGTCCACCAGTCAGGGGTCAACTGTCTTCATGTTTCAGATATAAGAGGTCCTGAAGTTTCTGATTCAAGGTTTACATTTTGTGTTTTAAGTGGAGGTGACGACCAGTCACTTAACTGTCTTAGATTAGATTTCTCTCTGAAATCGTTGAGGCCGAGTTGTGAAAGTTCGACTCCGGAGCAACAACAACATAGCACCACTGGATCACTGAGTTTAGGCGGTCATGTTCACCATTATGAAGTCGGAAATTATGATATGAGATTTGCGTTGCTTGATAAAGTCATGTCAGCTCACAGCTCTGCGGTTAAAGGTAGATAATCTGATTTGTTTTTTCATTAAAATGTGCATACGTTTTTCATTTTCTTTTTATTATTTTGCGTTGTGATTTTGCCTTTTTCATTCTAGCTGCTGGAAAGCTCTGTTTACCTTTTCATTGTAGGATCCACAGCTGCTATACTCCAAATAAAGTTTCATAGAACTGTTGGACTAAAGTTCATAGAACTGTTGAAGAGGGATAGTGTAAACCCAAAGTTTGGCCTTTTGTCTGAAGGTTCTCAAAATTGGTCATCTCCTCCATTCTAGCTTCAGTGTCTGAGTGTCCAATTTTTGCACAAGCTAGAGTTTATTTTTCTATCATATCATATCTATATAAAGTAGAGTCTGCAGTCTCTGTGTCAAATCTGATTGTTTATTGATAGGAACAAGGATAGGATAAACAAGAAAATTAAAGATAGCTAGTAAAAGAATTTAGAATAGACCCAAATTGAAAGCAATAACTAGAACATTCAAAGGAAAATGAACACCCTAATTATGCAACAATAAGAACTAGGAATACCTTCAAGTGGAAGAATTCCACTTGATAACACCCTTGCAAGAATTGTCATCAACCATGGGATTCCACCATACTTCTCAGTAAGAGAAAACATTAATACTCAAGGTAAGCTGCCTAAGATGGTAAGAAAAGAACTACTTATACAGGTTCTAATTTAGGTTGCAAATTCCCAAACTATCCCTAAGCTAGGCCTTAAGATAAGGTGTGCTGAAATTGCCATTCTGAACTCCCAGGCCTCCCTCGCGTTCGAGGTGTAAAGTCTGCTATCGCGGACCTGGGCAGCTGAGTTTTCATCGCAATTGCGGTCTTTGCTGGTGCTGCCTCCTTTGCAGTTGCAGTCTGAGCCTCGCGATCACGGTCTTCACTGTAGCCAAAAACTGCAGCTTCTAAATGTGATTTTAGCCTTCCTCTGGCCTTGTATCTTGCTCCCCTCTTCTTGTATTTCCACTTTAACATGTTATATGCCTTCTCATTTTCTTGGAAGGATCTCTCAAGACTCCGTAAACACTTGAAGGTTGAGAGCAAGCTTCTAGTTCCTTGATGCCTACCGTGCATGCCATCATTTATGTTAACATATAAACACAGCTTAGTTCATTCTCATTTCACCTCCTGCTGCCCTTGATTTGAAGTTTCTACCAGTCCTTTTTAATTGATTCCTTTGTCATGTTATTTTAAAACCATTCAAATGTGCTCAGTTTGGCTTCATCCACACACTTTTAATTTAGTGTTGTAAGTTTATTAAATTAAAACAAGGAAAAAAAAGATAGCGTTATAAGCTCATTTGGCTCTATAATGCCCTCATAAATCGATATTTCTGTTCACACCTATTTAAAAGACTATTCTTATAAAGCTCGATTTTCTGGATTCTCCACATCCCTGTATTACATTTTTGCTGACATCCAATCTGTGGTACGAGAAAGCAGAGATAATGATTTGGAAAGAGAAGTAATTGGGAAAATACTTGAAGCTCTTTCTGGCCTTACCCAACCTTATGTATTTTTACCCGCGTAGAATCACTCCCAGCTTCCATCCAAATGTTCGAGCCACATCGCTTTCTTTTAATCAACCTTATTTTGAAACCTTGTAATCATGTAATGCATAAGTTATTCTTTCGGTCTCATTAAATGCTTACCTTGTTTTAGCTTTCTGAAATTTCACCAGCACCTTTTAGCTAAGTACTGAATTTGCAGTTGTATTGTGAATGACGATAGGCATAGCTGCCAAAATGGTGTGAGGAATTTCAATGAGTTCATCCTTACTAAATCAATTTCAGTGAGTTCATACTTCCTAGATCATGCTAAACATTCATGGTCATTCTCCTTTTTTGTGGGTTTAGCGATCTGGTATCCAGAACCTATCCACTGGCCTGACTAATCCAGATTCACATCAAGTAAGGCTCATTTAAAGGAGAAGCGCACTACCAGAAATTTCTCCATTCCCTGGGATCAAACTCAAGACATCTAGTTAAGGATGGAGGGATTCCATCCATCCCACGACATCCATTGGTGACCGTTCGTTCATGGTCATTCTCGTTCTAAAAAAGCTGTGCCAATAATGTGATACTGTTTGACAAGAAAAAAAAGGGTAGCCTTAGGCTATGAAGGCTGATTTATGCAGTGAGAAAGATGATTTATAGGAAAATCTTTTATGCAACGACGGCCCCTACTCTTTACCTTTCTAATGGAATCTCCAAATAAAGTCAACATCATCTGAACTGAGTAAAGCAGAGTAAGTTCTATTATTGTGGTAAATAATGGAATTTTATGTAAAATGAAAAAAGTACTTTTAGTTCTCTCCCTCCTGTTCATTAGGCATTGGCCACGCTCATAAGACTCCAATTATTACTGGAGTAGTCAGTTTGAATTGTGTCTCACTTTTTATCTTGGGGGTTGCCCTACTACCTATACTCTATATATATGCTCCATCACCCACCCATAACTATCAGAGTTTTTCTTGTCAAATGACTCTGATGAAATCATCATTTGCACGTAAGAATGGACCTGGACCTGATGTTAGTCTTGTTCACTATAGGTGTTTGGACAGATGGTTGTTGGGTATTTTCTACGGGTCTTGATCAGCGCATCAGGTGTTGGCATCTCGAACAGCAAGGCAAACTAACTGAGCACAAACATATGGTTGTTAGTGTACCGGAGCCTGAGGCATTGGATGCTAGGGCCTGTGGAAGGTGGGTAATCCTTTCTTTCATACTGTATTGTTGATTTTCTTGTTTAATCTTCCATTTTTCACTTTCTGGAAACCAACCTCTACATCGCTTTAATATTTTCTTTAATATTTTCATATTCAGGAACCATTATCAGATTGCAGTCGCTGGGAGGGGAATGCAAATGTTTGATTTTGTTGCACCTGATGACATGAAGGGTGGAAATTAAGGTTTTTCCCTATTGTATTAAAACATTTTGAGGAATGTAAAATGTATGAGGTTCCTCTATTTTGGGCATTAAGTGCGAGGCGTCTGATATGACATACGAGGAAATTCTTATATTTATTTAATCATGATATTTGGTACTTTCTTAGGCATTCAGAAGGTGAATTATATGAGGTACCAACAATTAGTGCAATACGTCCCAAGAAAATAATCTTGTGGTTACAGTTTTAGGTAGCTTTTGCAAGCCAAGAGAACACTAGAGGTTAGTGAAATACCCGAGAATCTGTAGAATATACCGAGGCATCCTAGAAGGTGAAACGTTTGATGCATCTTTCGCCATAGCATTGGTAGTACTGGTGCTGCTGCTGTTGTTCGTTGTACATTATTTTATTTTATCTGTTCATTTCTTCTACTATTTTTAATTTTATCTGTTCGTTTCTTCTGGTTGGCATGAAATGGTTTTCTTGTCTATGCACCTCCAATTACTTCGGTATTATCATTCCAAAATTCTTTGTTTTTCGTGTTGAATGTGTGTGGTCTTATCATAGGTGTTGTACGTATATTCGTAGAATATTTGTTGTTTTATTTGTTTTCCCCGCATCTTTGGGTTGATATGTGGGATCTATTGCGTAGTTTTTCAGCTGAATCCAATAGTATGTAATGTTGTTGATAAGTGTCACTCACTTTAAGTTTTCATTCTTTTGATTGAGCTATAGTGGCATGTGCAGTTTCTTTTAATAATCGAATGTCCCTGAAAGGAGAGGGGCATATGCAATTACTAGAGCGAAAATGTAAAAGCTAAAACATGTGCGCTGTGAATTCAAGCATCTAACGGCATTTAATATTGAGAATTATAACTTCTATCGTATTTTCACGAACTTGATTGTTTATTTTATCATAAGGCAATAGCATCTTTAGACATCTCAGAAATTATGATGTATGTTTTCAATCGAAGTTAATGGTGGCATCGTAATAGTTAACTGCCATGGCAAATGTCTTACAAAACTTGGCCACTTCCCGGAAAAGGAAAAGGTTGAATTTGGTCAGTAGTCAGTACTGCAAAAAAAGAAAAAGACAAAAAAGAAAACCAACCAAAAGCGCTAGTTCGATACTGAGATGCGAGAAGGTTGAAGACGTAGCTTCTTTAAAATAACAAGCGGAAGATCAAAATTCCACATTACTCTCTTTATGGTTCAGAACAAAAAAAGATTGTTGATTTTATCAGTCAAAGTGGTTAAAGGAAAGCAAAAAGTAAGAAAATAGAGACAGTGAAACCCCTCATTTCAAAACATTCTCGGTTCCCTCATGATGGAATGGATGTCAAGTAGTATACAATGCAGCCAAAATCCAGAGAGACAAAGATAGGTAGTAGATGAGATAGCTTGAGAGAAGAATCCACCTCAACGGCCCTATCACAAAAAAAGAAAAAGAAGCAAACCCCAGTTGAGGTTAATCAAGAATCAAGTATGCATAAGTTGTTGAATGAAGAGTGAAGACTAACCTGCACAAGCTACAAAAGAAAGCAGGAACAAGAAGGCGACGGGGAGGAAAGCAATTGTTATGGATTCTCTCAGTCTCATCCCAGTTTTCATTGCCCAAAGAATGTGAGATAAAACTTGGTTGTTGTATGAATAGATAAATGCTGGATTATTGCAATTATATACCACTTGTAGTAGGTGGAATGAGTTATAAGTCGCAGCGAGTTTGGTAGATACCTGATGGTGAACAAGGTTTTCATTGTATTTATGTACACATGTAAAGAGAGAGGGAGAAGAAAAAAACTTGCTAAGATATATGTAATGGACTCGTCACTCAACTATCTCAAATTATCTCCTAAAGTTACTTTACTTTCGTTTGTAATAACTATGCCTATTGCACCCAGAAGGTTACTCAACTAGATTTTTCAAATTTTGGATTGCCAAATACCTATTTTACCCTCTAAATTATGGACATATATCTTCTTTTTATTTTTTTAAAACCTTTTAATATTATGGGCTTACCTATAGAATAAATAAATATTATTTATAAATTAAAAAAAATAGAAAGTATTTAAGCATATATAATGCTGGAATAACAAATAATGAGCATAGTAAAAAAATTAATTAGAATAACTTCTTAGTAATAATAATTTTAGTATTAACAACAAAAAATAAAATTTATTTACACAATTCAGAATGAAAGAAAATAAAGGTTGTAATATATATATTCATGCACGTAACATAAAAATAATTATTTGAATAAAAGTATTTTTATTATATACATTATATATTCTTGAAAATTATGCTCAATTATATTATTGTTTCTACCAACTTTCCGACGACACAAAGTTATATCACCGGAAAGCAGGGGGACTATCTGTATAGGGTNTGCATGAAATATATATTTTACAACCTTTCTTTTCTTTCATTCTGAATTGTGTAAATAAATTTTTAAATTTTTGTTGTTAATACTAAAATTATTATTACAAACAAATTATTCTAATTAATTCTTTTACTATGCTCATTATTTTGTTATTCCAGCATTATAGATGCTTAAATACTTTTTATTTTTTTAATTTATAAATAATATTTATTTATTTTATAGATAAGTCCATAATATAAATTAAAAAGGAGAAATCATAATATTAAAAAGTTTAAAAAAGTAAAAGAAGATAAATATTTATAATTTAGAGGGTAAAATAGGTATTTGGCAATCCAAAATTTGAAAAATCTAGTTGGGTGACCTTCTGAGCGCAATAGGCATAGTTCAGTAACTTTGTTGTTACAAACGAAAGGAAAGTGACTTTAGGAGATAATTTGAGATAGTTGACTGATCATTTGAGTAATTGACTCTATGTAATGTGCATCAATAACTACTGCTCAGTTCCAAATTAGTGGAGTTCGCCAATATGAATTCTCCAATCTTTAGAAAATTTATTTTATAATTATTCTTACAGTTCATCCACCGTAACTTTTCTTCTTTATCCGAGTATCATATTGGTTTCTCGATGCGAGTGAACGCCTTTACGTCTTTATTCTAAGTAGGTTCCACAATTCCCATTACTTAGGTAAGTCAGACGCAGCAGAAACACTGATGTACCCAGCGGAATCAGTGCTAAGGATGGGTGGTTTTTTGCCTGCTGGCTACTGAGGGTGATAGAGAATCCAAGACTGTATGACCATATAAAATTTATATAACAAAATCATTTAGTGGTAGAAAGGGGTGGGCTACACTTCGTTTTTTGCAGCGTGGCAGGGGCAAGGATAATGGAGTCCGGAACCGAAATGTTATCTTTTTTTAGACTTAATTTTTTTTTTTGATAGAAAAAAACATATAAAAAAAAAGACAATCCGATCCACTAGGCTCCTGCTACGGGATAGCACCCAAATCTTCCTCTGGTTAAAGGGAGCAATCATGGCCATGCAGTCAAACAATCTTTTCTTCTTGACGCAACTGTGACGTCACTTTTCACACAAAGACATTTATCTCCCTGCATGAGATTATCTACTTCCTTTCTCATTTTATGTTTTAACACTTTTTCCTTTTTAAACTGTCAAAAAATGTTGCTCCCCGTTTCAATTTAGATGATGTAGTTTGACTTAAAACAAAGTTTAAGAAAAAAGAAAAACTTTTAAAATATGTGTTGCTAAAAACTGAAGAGGCAAAAGCTTAATGGGATCAATAATATTTGTATGGCTATAAATGCTTCTCATTACTCCCTCCGGTCCATAATAAGTGATCAATTTGCCTTGGGTACATCCATTAAGGAAATACTAAATTCTACACAAAAATAATTAGTATGACTAAACTACCCTTAATTAAGTGTTGTAGCATAATTTAATGTGATGAGTAAAAGACTTTTTAGGGATACATACAAGGGCAATTTTGGAAAAACAAATTGTATTTTTTCTTGATTATATAAATGAACACTTATTTTGGACGTAAAATAAAAAGGCAAATTGGTCACTTATTGTGGATCGGAGGGAGTAAGGGTAAAGAGGTTTAGAATAAAAAGTTTAAAGTTAAATTATTTCTAAATAAAAAAATATATTATTCTTTTTGGAATGGACTAATAAAGAAAGTGTGTCATCTAAATTAAAACGGAAGGAGTAGTTTTTTTAATTAAGAAATTTTAAAACAATAAAACACAAATATCTAAGTATTATTTTAATACTCCTTGTGTTTCAATTTAGATGAGTTAGTTTGACTCGACACAGAGTTTAAGAAAAATACAAAAAGACTTTTAAAACTTATGGTATTAAAACCTTAAGGGATAAAAGCTTTGTGAGACCATGGCATTTGTATGGTTATAAGAACTTTTCATTAGGGGTAAAATATGTAAAATAAAAAGTTTAAAGTTGAATTATTTCTAATTGTAGAAATGTGACATTCTTTTTTGAACGGACTAATAAAAAAATTGTGTCATTTAAATTGAAACAGAGGGAGTATTATTTTTCATAATTTTTTTATCCAGTTAAACAATATTTCTAGTCACCTTAGGGCTTCAATGGGTAATTTTGTCCTTAAACAAGAGTATATCCCTCCCTAGCAAGTAAAGACAGAGTTAAAACAGTGATATTTAATAAACATGACGGATTGTGGTCTTATTGAATTTGACAGCCATATCTATAAAATCCTAGACCCCTCTAATTTTTTTTTTTTTTTTTTTTTTTTTTTTTTTTAAGAATTAGTCACTCATTTACTGTTTCTACCTACATAGTATTGAAACGCGTTTTACATATTTTGGTCACTATATTTTTTTTTCACCTAAAAAAGTATTTTGAGTCCAAAAAAGACAATATTTTGATTCCGGACTCAAGGATAATGGCATGGCCACATCAAGGGAGAAATTAAAAAATAGCCAGATTTACAAGTGGTCGTTCAAAAATTGCCCAATTTTAAAAGTAATCGAAATTTAGTCACTTTTCATGTAAAGATAAATCTGAGCGAAAACACTGTTTAAAACCCGGAAAATACGCTAGTATATTATGCTGGAGTTCTAGCATAAGTATACTTGAACTCCAACATATTATACTGGAGTTCCAGGATAAGTATGTTGGAACTCCAGCATAATATGATGGAGTTCCAGCATAAGTACACTAGAACTCTAGCATAATATACTGGAGTTCCAGCAAAGTATACCGGTCCAGTATATTATGCTTGAAGTTCATACACAAGTGCTCGAATCTCCAGTATATTATGCTGGAACTTTCCGTGTGTTGGAGTTCCAGCATAATATGCTGGAAGTTCATACACAGGTGCACTGAACTCCAGTATGTTATGCTGGACCGGTCTCTGTTGCAGCAAAATAGTGGCTATTTTTTATTGACTTGGTAAACGCTGGCTATTTTTGAATGACCAGTCCGAAAACTGGCTAGACCGTGCTATTTTTACCCACATCAATTGTCGAAATCCTCAGTCTTGGCCTCGTGGGGACTGCCATTCCATTTGCACTACACAACAAAAACTAAAATACTACACTACTAATGTTATCACTGTTACTGTTGCTACTGTTGCTCCTTGTTACTGAATAATTAACGAGACGTAAATATATTACTTTTTCCATAGATAGGTGACTTAATTATAGGAGCTGATCCTTAGGATATTTTTCTTTATTTTGTTTCTTTTGATAGAGTCTTGTGTAAGTGTATAAATCTCTTGTATTCCTAAATAGAAATACAACAAGTTATGCATGGGGTAAAATTGGTTTATAACGGATTGTCGAATGGTAACGTGACACATGGAACCGAAGATAGGCAAAGGACAAGTCAGGAAATAACTAATACCGGATACGACGAATGCAGTCGATATCGAGTAAATCTCGAAGGGAGCGTAGTAGACGGGAGAAGGCCAAGGGTTTGCCATCGGATATCATTCAATGAGAAAATATTCACTAACATTATATGAGCGACTGTTACAGAGAATATTTGCATTCATGGCCTGCCGTTACACGTTCACCAATGACTCTTTTATTATCATTTAAGAGGAGCTTGATCCTAGGATCTTGTTTCCCTAGGTAAAGCTATAAATAGCAGGCTCAGCGGCCATTGTAAACACATGAAACATTCTATACAAAAAGGCTATATTTTACTATTTTGCTCTGAAATTAACATCTTTCTCTCACTTTGTCGTTATTCCCATTTGTGCTCTCGGAAATGCTGAGTTCGGAGCCATGCTTGCTATCTTCTTCAATTTCAATCGTTAAATCTCAATTTTAACCTCATCTCTTTATCATTTTTTGATTAAATCAATTCCCTGATCTATAAACTACGTAACAAATTTAACTGTACCATTTTACGGGTAAACAGTTTGGTTACCATCGTGGCGCATAGACAGCTGCATAATTGTTTTGATTTATTCGTTTATTACTAACTTGTTTTGATTCTTTCCTTAGTAAAAAACTAGATATGACAGCTAATGATGTCAACATCACACACAACGTTGAGGAAATCGAAGAATTGTCCCAACATGATGACTCAATTAGTGAGACTCGTAATGAAGGGAATCAAACGACCCCGGGCCGAGATGGCCAGTATCCTCGGCATGTGCGGGAATCGACTCCCGATGATGCAGAGGAGGAACATGTCGTAGAGACGGTTAAAATCTTGAGTGATCAGCAGAAAGCAATCATGAAACACCTCTCAAGGCAGGAATGAGTGATGATACAGTTAAAACAAACATTGTCAGACGCCTCCACCAATGTGAATGAAGGGGCCCGATTCCTCCCAGTGTTCCTACCAACCAAATATCA